TGCCCCCCGCCCCCAGGGGATGCTCTGGGCACGGATGGGGCAGCGCCGGCAGCTCCTGTCCCGGGGAAACCTCAGCCGGCACAGACTATCCCAGATGCAGGAAAGCTCTCCGGATCTTACCTTTCCCCTATGTGCTGATATTACAGCTCTCCCCCAGCTAGTCACAGCTCGTGTCTCTCCAGCAAAACTTCTGAGAGCGCACCAGGTGGGAAACGGTGATTTAGCAGGAAGAGTCCCCAGGACGTGGGGGCTTGTCCCTGCTGGGGCTGCTCTGCAGTCCGGGGCGTCAGCATGATCCTTCGGCTAGAAACAGTCATGCAAAGGCCAGGGGGGTGGTGGCGGTTGGCCTGTCCCTCGTCCCGTTCCCGCTGCCTCGTGAGCCGAGCTCCAGCATGTGGCAATGTGCTTGGACAGCCTCTATGCACCAGCTCCTCAGTGTGAACACGTGAAACGCCCCTTCTCCACCCAAGAGCCAAGGTGCAAGCTGCAGCTTGTGGCACAGTGCCGCATCCTGCCTTTCTGCACCAGCGGCGTTGCAAAGTCCTCTGCAGAGCAGGTGTTGGGGTGACCAGCGAGGGGGAGCTGGGATGTGCTCAGGGAGCTGCTGGGGATTTGCACGAGCAGAGCCAGTGGTTCGCAGTTTCCCAGGTTATGTCGTGCACGTGTGGCTCTGCCTCTGGGCGCAGAGAGGTGCTCCAGTGTGACCAGGGTGGACTGCACATGCAGTAGTGCCAGCGCTCACCGTCGTCACCACCTTCCCCGGTGTGAGTTTCCCTCCCCACAAAGCAAAACCTTTGCTGGGTGCTGGGATGGCTCCAGACCCTACTGGCCTGCTCTGATGTCTCAGAGCCTCAGACCGCGAGCAAAGCTGACGAGGAAGAAGGCAGGTCGTGTTGGGCTGCTCCCTCGTGTGCTGGCAGGAGTTTCCTGTTCCTTGCGGCTGCCAACATCACAACTCCCTGCTCCTACGGATCCAAACCCCCCTTGGAGGCCCCTGGCTTGTCCTGCCCACCACAGCTGGTTATCTCCCTGGCTGGGGGGGGCCGAGCCCCGCTCTGCTCTGCAGGGTGCTCACGGGGAAGCCCTGCCCCAAAGGCAGCATGCTTTGCACCCGGAGGCAGACCGCCCGGTCCTGCTGCTCTGCACGGGCGGGTGAGCCTAGGGGCACGGCGGGCAGAGGACCGACAGGAGAACGTGAACCGGCTGAGGGACGCGGTGCCCGGAGCGGTCGGTCAGCAGGAGAAGAGCCCGGCGTGCCAAACCCCAGGACAACGTGAAGGTGGGTGCTCCAGGTCCTGCGAGCTGGCCCCACCGGAGGGGAGCCTGAGGGTCGGCGTGGGGGACAGGGCGATGCCGAGCCCGTCTGAGCCCGACACGTGGAGCAGGGGACCAGCCTGTACCAGTTGCTGGCTCACG